TTTCCACACTGTCACATGCATCTTGTATTAACTAAGTATTTGTAAACAAGATTTAATTTAATCATTTTTAATCAATTAATTTTTCACATATTTTTTATGTTAAATGCATGTACATGCAAGTATGGAGTTATTATGACGCTGCTTGTAGAAACCTGTGGATAGAGTAGCTCTCTTGCTAGTAATATGGCAGTCTGTATAGTTTGTGTCACTTCATTTACAATTGGGCTCATTTAGATGTGCGTGAAAGACTGCTCTGCAGCAATGTTTTATATAAATACAATGCATAAATACAATGCAAGGAACATGTTGAAATAAAGAACACCAAAGTTAGTCATTAATATGTTTTATTTGCAAGGGTTGAAGAAATATGTTGACACAAAAGAAATCAAAATAACAATTGCATAACTAACACAAGTATGTAGATGAAGGATGTTCCCACATGTATATATGTACATGGTTGTGAGTGTGTGTGTATATGTCTGTCCATCTTAATTTTCTTCCTGCATTATGTTTCTTCAGATCTTAATACAAGAGACTATGACAAATACATACTTATATGTTGATACATGTTTAGGGAAAGTAACATTATTAGGGCACTAACAATATTTATAATTTATCAGTGCATGTTACAACACACAAACTTACATTTCAAAGTTCTCAACAATTATTGTTCAAATTAATTCACTTACTATACCTCCGTTAAAAATCCAGGTTATTTTCAGTTATTTTGTATATCACCTGACAAAAAAAACAAACACACAAATATGTATATACACTGAAAACAAAATCTGAAAAAGAGAGAAACAATTGTACTCACAACTTTTGTCAATCTGTAGATTCCCGTTGGAGCATGACACATCCACATACGCTTTCATCTTACTTCCAGTATTCCATCCATCGCTACAGTTAAGTCTATACTTTTCAGCATGCCTTATGTAGACCTTTTCTTTAGGAAGCTGTAGATTGTACTTCTTGACAATATCATCAATTTCACAAGGTCCTACGACAGAGACAAACATAAACATAACATTAAAAACAGTACAAAACTAAAAGGCAGATTCCAAAATAACTGCCATATTTACTGCTTAATCCTGTTAGATGTTTTTAACTGGTTCATGTACATTATGACTGATTCAAGCAGAACGTGTGATGAATGAATCTGTCCCATTAGAATGAGTGAAATGAAAACAGATTCACAACACTTTCAAGCCTTCAAACTTTGCAATAGTACAGTCGTTGCAAAATATGTCTGTAACTGCCATTGCAAAATGTTTCCATTAGAATTGAGCAATCTGTTGAACTGATAAAAAGTAGAGGCAGAAGAAGAGTTTGACACCTATAGTGTTTGATACACAAATTAAAATGACAAAAATGACTCACTCAGGCATTTCGGAGGAGTCTCCCATTTCCCATCCACACACTTATAAACATCCTGTTGCTTGGTAATTACATAGTAAGACTGGCAAGTGTAAGATACTGCTGTGATCACTTCATCTTTTGTACTGTTGATGCTGTAGTCTCCATGTTGAAGATACGGAGGAGGTGGACAGATCTTACCTAAACAAATATTAGTATCAGACATATTTTGATTTATTTTGAGCAGAATTTTGTAGTGTCCACAGACAATCTTGTACACTTCATCATGTGCACTTATTTGCAAAATTTTCTATAATACAGTCTGCACATTTGTGATGGAATCATCATAGATCTAGTCGGATTTGCTGCTGGATAATTAAATGTGAATGCAAGATTTCTTGGCAACTAACTTTTGCAGTCAAACGTTCCGTTCCATTTTCCATTTTGACACATCAAAACTCCTCTTGGAATTTCATTGTACGGTTTATTGCACGTGTATGTCAGTATCTCAAAGTTGCTGTATTCAGTTTTCTTATCTGACAGTGTCACAAACTGCAAGTTTGTTGGTTGGGAGCACTGAACTGTTCCTAGAGGAACAATTCAATGCAAAATTTATTAAATATTATACATATTATATTCAGGTGGTAGTAAATTAATATGTGCTGATTCATTATTTTGATTCATAGAAACGTTTCAAACTTTTCTCTCTGGAAAAATGTGACTCCACTGTACTTACATTCTTGTGAAAATCCAGAAACATACTGATATACAGTATATATATATGTATATATATATATATATATATATATATATATATATATAGGTGTGTGTGTGTGTGTGTATGTAATTCTCTGCAGTTTCAGCTGAAATAAACACTCCACACAACTTTTTAAATTCCTTTTCACAGAAATTTTGATTGTGGGGCGAAATATTGAAAGACTATGAGCTCAAATGTCAAAGAAGCAAGTTGAAATAGTTGCTTCATTTGCTTTAGTTTAGTGTAGGGAAAATGTCACCATAAGCATTTTGTGAGACTGGGCTGAAACGTTTCTACATATAAATTCTATGCATATAATCTGTAGTTGGTGGAATATGTCTGTACCTCCACATTGTGGATATGGGTAATTCCACCTCCCATCTGTCTGGCATTTGATTGCATTTTGGCCAAAAAAACTCATGTTGTCATCAGTGCATCGAAAAACTAAGATATGTCCAGGTTTATAAGGTGAAGTGAAGCTTGGAAATCCAAATAAAATTTCTGTATTTTTGAGTTCTTGCTCCTGACAGATACCATCTGTGTTTAAAGAAAAAAGAAAGAAAGAAAGAAAAAGATTAAACATTTAATTGTCAACAAATAATTTATTTGTGAACACCCAAAATGTATTAACAGTAGTTTATAGAGTGTCTTGTAGGAAAAAAACAGCAACATCAAACCAAATAACATTAAATATCACTGGTGCTTCTATTTAAGTTTTAATGTTATTGACGTTACTTTTGGGCCCTGCATACATAAGGTGATCGATGATTTGATTTGAGAGTGAATTTAAACTCTTGAATTTCACTCTTTTCATCATACAAAGTGGCCACATTTCAGAAATCTTGGATAATACTGCTGGATTACTTTTATGCTAACTTTATATCCTTTTTTGTGCTTGAAACTGTTGGACTTCTTTGACTATTATTGCATGGACAAAAACAGATGAAACATTCAGAAAATTTGCAAAGCAATCATAGAAGTAAATGAGGTGAACTATTAATTTGGAATTATTGATTTGAATGATTATCTCTGGACCCGAATACGGGTCCAAAACTATGTTAATTTGAAAGCTTAGATTCTAATCTTTTTCAAAGAATACCATAACTTTTGGTTTTATGATACATAAAGTAGTCAAATTAAGCTTAAAAATGCATTCGTCCCAGACACAAATTTTCACATTGCTCAGAGCGTGCGTGTTTACTGAGCGCCTGTCGCTGTTCTACAGATCAGGCACTTCTGTCATGCTGCGCAGACTGTCACTCAAGCGTGCAGGCCATTCACAGCCGAGAAATTTGAAATTTGGCCGGTGTTTCCGTGTATATTTATAGTTTATTGACTGTTTTGATGTCGATAATGGCATGTGGAAAAGGAAAAGCACAGTGGAGAGCAGAGGACCCTGCATTTGGTAAGCGCATCCATATGCATTTACAGTGCTTGTACTTATTTTAAATTTTTTTTTATTTTTTTTATAGAATTATTATTATTTTGAAATGTGAAAGTACAGCAAACAATCTGCTAAACTGTTTTTTTGACAAAAAAGTACAGTACAGGATGCAGTATAGAAAATTTAATACAAATACCAATTCAGTAATTGATTTTGTGAAATGGATATTATTATAAAGCAAAAACTGTGTGCACAAACAGTGAATTCTTTGTTTCAGTTTCTGTTGAAGATTAGTGAGCAGCAGCAGCAGCTGGCACAGCTGACATCTCATCTCCAGGAGGCAGGTGGGATGCTGAGGTGATGCTCAACACAGGGGGCAAAAATGATGCACATATAAGGAATGATTTTAAGCTGGAGGATATGGATTCTGTTTTAGATTGTATTAGACCACATAGATTTTATCATTTAAAATCTTGTCTCCTAAAAGAATAAAATATGATTGTATAAAACACAAAAAAGTAATATTTGATCTAATTATTTTATGCCATTTTGTATATTACTAGAAAAAGACAAAAAAATTAAAATAATTCAATCAGTAATCAAGGAAAAGTGCTATGGCACATTGTCAAATAGGTTTTGCAAAGGAAACTTATAAAAAAAAAGTAATAAAATAAAATTATATTACATATATATATATATATATATATATATATATATACACACACACATACTCCCATCAGTTATAATTCAATAACTCCTGTAACATACTCCAATAACATACACCTTTGGCACCTAGTAGAATCAAACAATGTAAGTTGCAGATAGCTTCTGCAAATAGAACCCGAATAACAAATTTTCAAAAACAAAATTCTGAAAAAAAATGAACAAGCGCCTATTTTTTTGTGTTTATTGTAATATTATATAAACATATATGATGTTATTTATGAAGAATTACAATCTGATTTTGTATTTCAAGGGGTTTTCTATAAAATGACACCATTTTTTTATTTTATTATTATTTCCTCTATTGTATGTGTGTAGGGTAAACAAATAAATGTAAATTTGGGTATGCCAAATCCAGACGGAAACCCCATAAATAACCCCAGTGCTTAAGGGGTTATTTAAACAAATATTGTAGAATATGCTGGCTATTTATCCGTTATTAGCTATAACAAAAACATATTGGCTTATCTGTATCAAAAAGATCAAGCTGTAACATACCTGTGCATTGCTGAATGCCTGTCCACTGGCCCTGGGAATCACAGGTGATTTGTACAGGCTCTTCTGGTTCAAATCCAGAGCGACATTTATATTCTATTCTTGAACCGATTTTGTAGTTTATTCTCTGACCTCCCACAATCTCTGCATTTGGAATTCTTGGTGGGTCACACATCATTTCTAATATATATATATATATATATATATAAACAACCAAATATATATAAATATATATATATAAACAACCAAACAATCAAAAAACATCAGCATAATCTCAGAACATACCAGCACACAGTGGTTTTGGTGTCCATCCGTCTCGTGTGCATGTGGCCTCTTCTGCTGTTTCACGATATCCAGACTCACAACTGTACGATCTCTTTGCTCCTAATTTCATATCTCCACTGAAGGAATATTCCGGGCCACTCACACGCTGGTCACGTGGAACTTCACATGTAATCTCTGAAATACAATTCACATGCTTTTGATAATATTCAATGAATTCAGCACAAATTCCAGAAATGGTTTCTCTATAATCTTACCACAAACAGGTTTACTGTCCCACTTTCCATTAATTTGGCATGTAAATGATTTGCTGGTTTCTTTTGTAAAAAATAAGTTTTTTTCAGAGCAGATGATCTCCACGCTTTCTCCAACTTTGAAAACAGTTTTTCCCTCTGGGTTAATCCTTTTTACTCCCGGTATGGTTGACTCAAACTGACAAGTTACTTCTGTACAAAACATACAACTTGAGTAAAGGCCTGTTCACACCAACACAAATGTTTGTAATGAAAATTCTGTCCGATTATCTCATACGATTTGAATTCAGAGTCAGATCAATGTGTAAACAGTAGGCTGGATGAAAATGCTATTTCACAATATGACAGTAAGTGGCGCTCACAGAAAAGCAGAAATAACCTTTGTTCACACGGTTTCTGACACTCACTTGTCATGGAGAAGGGAATGAGAAGACAAACTATATATTTTTCCGGTTATTGTATTTGCAATGGTGTTGAAAATGAAAGTGAAAGTGACGTGATACCAAGGATGGTAACCCATACTCAGAAATTGTGCTCTGCATTTATTCCATCCATCTGCACACACACACACACGGATCAGTGGGCAGCCATTGCTGCAACGCAACTGGAGGTTCGGTGCCTTGCTCAAGGGCACCTCTGTCGTGGATATTGAAAGTGGAAGAGAGCGCTATTCATTCACTCCCCCCACCTACAATCCCTGCTGGTACTGAGACTCAAACTTGTGACCTTCAGGTTACAAGTCCAACTCTCTAACCATTAGGCAACAACTGCCCCTAAAACAAACAACACCAATTAATAGAGTACAGAGACAGGAGAGACAGTTCTGGATTCTTCTTCTGTTAAGGACCTGATTAAAGCAAAATTGACATTGAAAGTTCGAAACAGCTTGCTAAAGAAAACATTCTGGGGCAGTTTGCTCTAGCTAGTAAACACTTTTGAACTACCTTTGGTCCATGACGATGATATAATAGGTAGGTGTGGCTCTGGGTTCATTCTCCTGTTCATTTCTTCTGTTCAGTCCATCAAGGTCAGATTTGAGTAAAAACATCAACACACTGGAGAGCTGATTTATATTACTGAAGCAGTAAATGTGATCGAAAGTGACACTAACACGGTCTTTTCATGTTAACACTGTAAAGCTGCTTGCTTTAAAGCAATCAATTATATAAACTGTTATAAGAATACATTTGACTTGACTGGAGTGCTGCATTGCAGAGCTGGTGCAAACGTATTCGCATCAATGTGATAAGATGTTTCCTTACCTGCTGTTTTCTCACTTCTGTCATTTGTTGTGTTTACTTTGTTGTTGAGAAGAAAGCGCACAGCACTTGTTTACATATTCATCTAAAAACCGCTCTCATCAGCGTGGGTGGCGCGGCATCTCGTATTTTGCCCCTAAGTCAGGGGTTTCCTATGTTTTTGAGCTATTACTGTGCAGATATATACTAAATTGATTTTATAATTAAAAAGTTGTATTATAACCTTCAATGGAATTAATGGTGAATTGTCAATAAGCTGTAACATACCTGTGCATTGCTGTACGCCTCTCCACTGGCCCTGGGAATCACAGGTGATTTGTACAGGCTCCTCTGGTTCAAATCCAAGATGACATTTATATTGTATTCTTGAATTGATTCTGTAGTGTGGTTGCCAATGTCCTACAGTCTCCGCATTTAGGATTTTAGGCACTGCACACATTATTTCTTAAAAAAAAATACTTATATATATATATATATATATATATATGCATACAAACATAATTGGTATTGGCATAATGTGAATAGCAAATATTTTAATACTCCACAGCAGAACATACCAGCACACAGTGGTTTTGGTGTCCATCCGTCTCGTGTGCATGTGACCTCTTCTGCTGTTTTACGATATCCAGACTCACAACTGTACGATTTTATTGCTCCCAGTTTCTTATCTCCGCTGAAGTAATAGGATGGGTAATACACATGCTGGTCATATGGAGTTTCACATGTAATCTCTGAAACAAGATTCACATGCTTTTAATAACATGCAATAAATTCATCACCAAATTCAGAAATGTCTCTCTATAATCTTACCTGCACAAACAGGCTCATAGTCCCACTCTCCATTATCTTTGCATGTAAATGATCTGCTCGTTACTTTTGTACCAAAGAACCAGTGTTTTTCAGAGCAGGTGATCTCCACACTTTCTCCAGCTCTGAAAATAGTTGTTCCCGCAGGCTTGATCTTTTTTACTCCATATGTGGTTGACTTCAGCTCACAGGTTACTTCTGTACAAGACATAATTATATAAAAGTAATGGTAAGAAGAGATGAACCAGGACTGAATTCTTTTTTTGAAGGATTAAATTCTTTTGATTTTTTTTTTATCCTAAAAAAAAATAAAAAAGATAGCTTTCAATGAAGAGAGAATAATAATGTGTTGTCCCTTTGTAAGCATTAGATGCACATTTTCTGTATTGAGAACTATCAGATGTACAGTATTTGCTACACTACAAAAAAATAAAGATTACTGGAGTATATTTTACAATAAAATACTATTTCAGTCTTTCTACTTCAGAAATTAATGTTTAATTCAATGTGTCACTTGCCATTTTCTTTGTGATCAGTTGTGAAATTTTACTAGCAAATGTTTGCCATGAAAATTCTGTCCGATTACGATACGAGTCTCATTACGATATGAGTCTCAAATCTCATACGATTTGAGTTCAGAGTCAGATCAATGTGTAAACAGTAGGCTGGATGAAAATGCTATTTCACAATCTGACAGTAGGTGGCGCTTACAGAAAAGCAGAAATAACCTTTGTTCACACGGTTTCTGACATTCACTTGTCATGGAGAAGGGAATGAGAAGACAAACTATATTTTTTTAGGCTATTGTATTTGCAATGGTGTTGAAAATGAAAGGCATGGGTAACCCATACTCGGAAATTGTGCTCGGCATTTATTCCATCCATCTGCACACACACGGATCAGTGGGCAGTCATTGCTGCAGCGCAACTGAAGGTTCGGTGCCTTGCTAAAGGGCACCTCTGTCGTGGATACTGAAAGTGGAAGAGAGCACAATTCATTCACTCCCCCCACCTACAATCCCTGCTGGTACTGAGACTCAAACTTGTGACCTTCAGGTTACAAGTCCAACTCTCTAACCATTAGGCCACAACTGCCCCTAAATCAAACGATACCAATTAATAGAGTACGGAGAAAGGAGAGACAGTTCTGGATTAAAGCAATCTTATTAAAGCAAAATTGAATCGAAAGTTTGAAACAGCTTGCTAAAGAAAACTTTCTGGAACAGTTTGCTCTAGCTAGTAAACACTTTTGAACTACCTTTGGTCCATGACGATGATATAATAGGTAGTGTATTAACTGAAAATTAAGGTAGTATGACAAGTAGCTAATTTCGAATGTTTGGATTGCTCTCCCGTGAAGTTAGTCACTTTCTGGACAACTGAAATGATAAAACATTCTTAGTGTTTTGAATAATATAATCATTGAAGTAAGTAGTTATTACAGTAGCTAATTTTGTTGTTGCCTAATAATAATGTTTAGCCATATCACACATTTTGCATGTGAGTGCTGTTGCCTAAAAAAGACAATTGGACCCTTTCTACAGCATGACAGGACGACAAGTAAATAATCTCATTCCATTTACAAATATTAGTGTGTTGACTACATTAAGCTCCACTTTGAAGTTAAAATAAAAATTAAACTAAGGTCGAACAAATATCTATTTTGTTAACCCTCTGGGCCTCTTTGGTCATTTTTGACTGAAACTAATTTTTTATTTCGAATTTTTAAATATCGTGGCTTCATCGGAATGAGATGACACTTGGTGACTTTTGTCACATTAGCTATGTAAACACACACACAAAAATCATAGACATGATTCGGATATGTTAAAGGGTCAACAGAAAAAAAAGTCACACTTGGCTCCTTCGAGGTAAAAAATGACCGACATAGGAAATAATTGGGAAATACGAAAAAATGTGAAAACTCCAAGAATCTTTTGGTGGTACAAACTACAAATCAGCCACTGTGCAGAACAAAAGTACACAGCAATCAAGGGGTGATTCTCTAAAATATCAAGAGTGCAAAATAGACACCCACGCACACACACACACACACACACAGAAATGAACCGACTGCACAGAGCAAATTTTTTGAATATTCAATGATTGATTGAAATCATAATGCAAAACCTGATATTTATCTAACCAAAAAATATCTAAACCTTAACAAAAAGTACTCTATTAGAATGTCTAAATATATATCTAAAAGTAAAACCTAATAAAAGGAAGAAATTATGTCTAAAAAACAATGGGAATCCAAAGGCCTCTGTATATATGTATGTAGGGAACTCTGTAGTTACCATGTTCTGAACATCACATCCTTTCTTTTTCCCTCAGATGTAATCTATCTAGGTGGTTGAATAAAAATAGTTGGACTTTATTTTTTTTTTTAAATTACCTCAGTTTAGCACCAGCAAGCTCCTTAGCTAGACAGTTAGCATTAGCTAACATTGACTTATTTTCAGCATGGTTATGAATAAACATTTATATTTGTCTACTCGGCTAGTTGATCCAGATACAGTAACTTAGGCTATGTGTGCTGACAAACAATATTAAAACAGATGTCACATAGGGCTAAATGCATAGGCGTAGCTTGACGTTTGAGTTTGGTGTTGGGGGGGGCGCAAACCGAACCGGTGGATTTGGTCAGACGTACTTTTAAACAGATTTTAGTTTTGCCATAGTAAATCTACATATTCACACTCACATAGAGCAGTGTCAAGTGCGTGAGGTTGTCATGGTAACCACATACAGTACCCACGAATTACAGCTGCGCTTCTATTTTGCCACACTAAACTTAGCAATAAACACGTTTAAAATGCACAATAAACATGTCTGTCAAAAC